ATTTAATTACAAACATTTTTTTCCTCTTCCATTTTCGCCTAAAATCAACTCTTGAAAAGATACATAATTAAATAGGAAGAAAAATATGACATTTTTCGAATTTTTTGAACATATTGTGCCGCCAAAAGTTAAGCCCACGTTTTTTTTATGCGCATAGAAAAATGTTCATTTCTAGTGATATTTGAAAGCCAAACAGCCAAAAATCTCTGTGGATATACGATTCACCCAAACCAAAACAGATACCGCCTAGTCTATTTCTTCACTTTCACTTTCATCACATTGACGTGTTTCATACTCGTCCAATGGAGTTTGTACAAGTTTTTTCCACTGGTGTGCTAAACTTGTTAATTCATCTCTTAGTTTTTGATGAGTTATTTCTGGTTCATATATGACCAATTTCTCACACAGTTTGTTAAAAACTGGAGCTTTTAAGCCTCAGATCACATGTAATTGTCGGCCAAGGTGAAGTCGACATTTCTTATTTTACTGCCCTAGGTGTGTAAAAAAATTTTTTTTTTCATTTCTTTCCAAATTTTTTCCTTGATTTTTTTCGAATTTATTGCCCAAAATTTTTTTCAATTTTTTTTGAAAATTTTATTTCAAAAATATTTTTCATCCTTCTACAGCACGGACCGGCCCAAAATGACCGCGGCCCATCGGGAAACCTCCCGAGTTCCCGCATAGCCAATCCGCCTCTGATGTAGGTTGTAAAACAAAGTAAGCTTTGACATTAATACGCCGGTGCACGCTAATATCATACCTAAATGGTAGACACTTGAGGTATTTTTATAATATATTCTTATAACTATGAGAGAGAAACGGCAGAAGTAATATTTCAGTAGATCTTCAGTAATATTTGGGTATTAAAAAAATATTTGTGTCACATACACGATGCGCGCATGCATCATCTCCGCGTACTCCTCGGTCTCTATTATTTGAGTAATACTTGATAATTAATTATGAAAATGAGTATTTAACTGTATTATACAAATTTTGATCAACGGTTTTCCCTTCGTATAAATATTTATCCTAGTGTTTACAATATCGGATTGGTTATAGAATCGCGGAATAGTTTTTATGCGCAAATAACTCGCATCGCATTGTTTCTCCGAGACTACCTAGTCAGAAATAAATTGCCGATATTTATTAGTTGGCACAGGTGATAATTATTGTCAGGAAAAATGGCTTGCCAAAACTTAAATGGTCTGTCGTCACGGAATTTAAAAAAACGTACGACGCAAACAAATTCCAGTACCTCTGTAATACTAACTAGTTTTTTTTTCTTCCTTTCAGCACCCTCCCTCACGAACGGTACGATAAAGGAAGAGGACTACAGCGCGGCCCCCGAGTATTTCATAAAATGTCCGCAATGTCAGAAGGGATGTCAAACCTTCCAGGCCCTCAAAGAGCACATGGACGCCTTTCACGCAGAACTGTCGGCCAATTCCGAGAATGGTAACCTTTCCATACCCAACGCGGCTTCGCCCACGCCCACACTGGCCGGCACAGGTGGGCCATTTGGGTGTTCCCAGTGCACGGCATCTTTTTCCTCCAAGGACCAGCTTGAAAAGCACGAGCTTTTGCATTCGCCCAACGCTCAAGTGGTAAGCGCCTTTTTCATTCAACACCAATTACTTTACTCGCTATTAAAATTGGTGCCCACTTCTCTATGCAGGACGTTCATAAATTAGCGTTACGGTTAAAAAAATAAGAGCAAAAGTTCTCACAAGCACAGGCTGCATAATATGTTTCCTAAAGAAGCTACTTAAGGTGAACTCCCAGAGATAAAGCAATGAAATTTAAAACTATGTAGATACTACTACTTTTCTTTAATTGTACATTTTTAATAATTTTTACTGTACTTTAAATCAACTCTACAAATATTCCGAAAATTCTCATCTAGTGAAGTCATATTAACATGCTTAGAGTACTTTCAAAATCTCATGAACCGCGAAATGCGCATAATTCTTCTAATAAGCACGTTGTGAAAACATTGACTCGGAATTAGACCACGTGCCTCATTACAACCAGAAATGAACTATAGCGCTCGGGCATCAATAAAGTCAACTGGCGAACATTCGTTATATATATTTCTATTGCTTAAATTAAAATAATAGAGAATAGAGCATTTTATTATGATATTTGTAATCGGATCAAAGGCTTGTTTACGCTACGAGAGCTCGAGATAGACTGTGAATAATAGACGTAATGTTTTTAGGACGTAGAATAATTTAGGCAACGGTCGGAATTATGTTTCTGCGCATATCAAGGTCAAAGCTCATAAGATTTTGAAACAACTCTACTGCTCGGAAGTTTACCTTTAAGGGTCTGTAGACTACCCCACTTCCACACTTCTGCCCCTCTCACCCCCTTAAAAGGTACTTCTCCGCCTTTGTTCATATAAACCTTATTTTTAATCGAAGAGTGTGCTGCAAAATATTGCATGCTAATTTCAAGACACCCTGTATAGATAAGCCTTGCAAGCGCTCCAACGCAGAGGTGATTCTTGGAACCCTTTGTTGCAAATAAAAACATAAATCTGTAGTGCAATAAATAAGTCTATATTATTCCCGTAAAGTGATATTTTTGTTTTCAAACCAATACTAAGAAAAGTGTGAAGTATGAGGCCGCTAATAAATTTATCATTATTAAATCATAATACATATACCGTATGCGATAAACTCTCAGACAAACAAAATGACAACAGTAACATTTTTTCCTAAAACGATTCTTAAAGAATTTACACGGATTTTAATTGGAGGGTTGGGTTTTCTTTCACAGATTTGGTTAATCAACTATTAACAACAATAACTGTTGCGCGTCTCTGAAACTATTTCATAAAATATACACTCGGAAATAAAATCTACCACAAACTAAATACCTACTGGGAGAAACACCAAAGAAACCAGTTTTTTTCCTCCATTTTCCTTTCATCATCTAACCTTTGTGACGTTGAACTTTTGAACCTTTAGATTCCTCTTATTTCCAAGGCTTCTGGATATATGTATATTCTATTCAAATTTAACCATAATTGGAGGTTTCAACTATTTGTAAAAATTAAAAGAAAACTTGTTTCATATCCCAAAACAGCATAAAAAATTTTACTCTTGTTTTCTTAATAGTTTTGACAAGAGGAATCAATCCTTACTGTTCTGCAACGTCAGTGTTACAATAACATGTTATATTTTTGGATTACCTTTAACAACGTCTTTTATCACCACTGAATTACGTTTATATTCCTTCTCACAGTTGTTTCGAGAAATATGATGTGTAGTGTAATCACACTACCAAAAAGACGAATATTTATATTGATCACATTGAAACCTTTGACCTTTGTATGTACGAAGAACAGCGGGAGTGATAAAGCTTCTACTCCTACGGGAGTTATTTACTACATTGAACAATGAAAATGACCCAACGGTTGAACGCAATATATGTACAACCAAATGGGAAACACTTTTGTAGACACGACACAATTATTTCGAAGGTTTGATAAATCCTTTTTTGTATCAAATCTATATTTTAAGCATATTTTTGTGGGTGTCCCATAGTAATGTATAGGTATTTCAAGAGTTCAACTCAACTAATTTCGAGAGGAGTCTGATTCTGAAATAGTTTTTATTTTATACGTAACTGCAACATTTTGACATGCATGCTTCTGGTCTTTCTTAATTAATTATAAAAATCTTAAACGTCAAAAAGAGTAATTGACGTCATTGTTTACAAATTTCTCACTGATCTTACTCAGTGGCTAGTTTAATAATGTGTTTCAACGCTAATCACGATTATTTTGATATTTTTAATATTCGTGTAACATTTTTTTGGCCAAATAATTCTAGGTGTATAAAAAATAACAATAGAAGTATATTGACGCGATTTGACTGTAACTATATATAGCATAGTTTTTATTTCTGACGCACATTTTTAACCGTTCTTAATTTAAAAGAATAAAGTAATAAATAGTATTTATGGTATTGAGTTAGAGGTTGGTGAACCCCCTTTTATTTTATGATAAAATAAATTTATCTCAATTTTATACAAATTCTTTAGCAGTTTTAACTTTATTTACTTTATAATGTTAAAGAAGGAAACTTAAACAGGTGGGAAAGGTGGTCTCACGCCACTGTGGGTTTACCGTCTCTATATAAATTCTTAATCAATGACAGTTGCTTCACTTAAAAATTACGGATGCAGGTTTTGCTTAGGTACTTTACACGCGTCAATCATGCGTTCATCGGAAGCGGGCTTAATACACTAACAAAGAGATTATTACTGTTGCACAATAATTGACATTAGTTTACGGTATATGTGGAATTTACTTATTTTTTCCGGTTGTTGGCCAAACGCGGTTTAGTAAAACCGCGGTAAGTGAAACAACTGATACGAGCTTTAAAACATTGTGTTAATACCTACGTTTTTTATTGTCTAGCCTAGATATAGTTTTCCTATTTGCGCAGTATGAAATTATGAGTTTTTATACTCAACTAAAATAATTTATTGTTTATACCTTCTGATATGTTGTAATGTAATGATTGAGCTTATTTTTATGAAACATAACGTGCAAAATTAAATTAAATTACATAAACCAAGAAACAACGCAGGTCGTATGTGTACACCATACAAAATTAATTAAAAAAAAGACATCATGCATTTCTTCTGACAAGTCATTAACGCAGTGTCATAAATTTACCTTTAAATTACTATTTTTAATCCTCTATTCATGTTTAGATGAATATGTGCCTTGAGAACCAAACAAGTATACAGGGTGCTTCAATCATGCAATTTATTTTAAGAGAACATAGGGAAAAATGAGTAGAATATTAATACGCGATTAAAAAAATACATATTTACGCTGAAAAAAAATATATTTAAATCATTATTTAAACCTTTTGGACCGCTCCTGACCGCTGACCTACAAAGGTTTATCGAGAGTGAATCTTGACACTCGTCTTGACTTATCGTATTCGGTCACTTACCTAGCTTTTGCTGTATTTTTAATAGTGAACGACAAACACAGACCCTTTTACCTAAACACATGAATGAATAAGATATTTTTTTACGTCTTAAATATTAACACGTATTATTTATTTGTTAATAAAAACAAAGGATATAAGGATTATAGTTCTTTTCGAATGTTAGGTTATTGTAATTTAAAATTTATATTATACGCTTTCTCCGTTTTATAATTCAATATGACGATCAAACGCTCTGTGAGCGCATTCCCAGTCCAAACAGTGATAAATATAGTAAGGAAAAATTGCGCTTCTACAATGTACCTAAATTATTACCTACCTACTCAAACTTGACAATGAAGCTTTATTCAGATGTTTGAAAAATGAAAGTGTAGCTGTCAAAAAAAAACACGTAACTGAAGAAGTATTAGAAATTTTCTCATTTCGCCATCAAATAATATTAAAATCATAAAAAAATATCACCCCGTATATTATTTTAAATATTTACGATGCCTTTTACAAATATTACAAACATTGTTTATTTACTAAATTACCACAAAATAGTCCGAGATAAATGAAAACAAATGAGCTTAAAATATCAAAAATAGTCATGTACACAAATACATAGTACCTAATATAATTTGTTAAGATTATTTACTATCGCCACAAACTACTTTGTTACGGTTTTTTGCGACGAACGAACTTTTTTCTCATCTAACAGGAGTCAAATTTATTTCGATCCGATATAAAAAACTACATCTTGCAGTTAAAGAAAGTAGAATTTATTTCACTTTTAAAACATTCAAGATAGTATCTATAATTATTATTTATACTTATTGATCTTTAAATCTAAATTAATATCGATACTTTTACTTAATTTACAGTTTCATTTAAGTTCATATATTAGTACAAAAGAGAACACCGTACAAAAAATTGTATTCGCTTCCTGATAAAATGTTATGTGCCTTTTTCCAATGCATTTAAAGCACGAGATACAAAAACCAGATACGTCAAGTTATTGTAGTTGTGAAGTATTAATCAACGTAGCAAGAGCACCGATATAAACCAAAATCTTTATGTTTAAAATAACTTACCTTTGCACTGGACATTTACTTCTTATCTTATTGAATCATACATAATATCACAACACCTAAAAATCCTCAATTAACTTATTGTTAACTAAACAATAGTCACTCATAACCTCTACTCTGCAGCATTCAAACACCAATGCAGCACTACTAACGACGGTAAAAACGGCGCAGCGACTCAAGGCAGTCACGAGCTCCTAGATTTTCGCTGAAAAATTGAAATTAAATAAAATTAAAATATGTAGTCACTAAATTTAATTTTTATAATCTTGTTTTTAGTTTTATATCGATTTAATCTGAATTGTGCATATATCATAGGAAATATATAGGTAAGTAGTAACAAAAATTCACAATATAAAACAAGATTCTTTTTCGATTTTGTTACCTTCTTGTAGACTTGCAAGTTATGGTTATGAGAAATAAATTTATAACATGCAATTTAATACGCGTAGCGGTACTTTTAGATGTCCAATTCGGTTGCAAAAAAATAGATGATTCATGGATTACTATCATTAATGAAAAATAAATTGATGACACTTTAAGCAATAATTACTCCTACGCTTTACGTGGTATTGTTTTTTCGTAGGTGGTTTTTCCGAACACTATCTATTCTAGTAATATGCAGTAAAAGAAAAAAAAAATGGAAGAAAAAAATTACAAGCACACAAAGTCCATCCCCGAAACTAAGCCCTTGTATGAAAAAAATGTCATATTGGTACATACATACGTTTGTTACAGTCAAAAATGTTCTTAATTGTTATTAAAAAGAATGTTAACATCTCTTATCTCGAAAATTGGGCGTTTCCGGGCATATGTTTACAGAAATATTTTAGTTAATTTGTGACGTAGAAGCCACCATAAAAAGTTTGACCAAACATTTCATTTAAACACAATGACTATGAATTCGATGTATTTTTTACTTTTTTCCGATGACAGAATTTTGAAGTTACACACTTTAAACTTGGTGTGCATTGCAGCACCTACTTAAACTATCTTGAAAATGTACCCAGAGGCGTCGAAGTAAGAAGGTTTTTCCGATTTACCTGAAAAAAAATTCCAGAAAGGAAAACAATTCTATATTGTTTTACAACGTTTTAAAAAATGGAAATCATACGTGTGACAGACAATATGGATAAATTATTTTAAATCCATCCTCACAACTTTGTAACGGTCTATACCCTGGTAGGTCGGGTGACTAAGGTCTACTCCTGGACGTGAGAAATGGGCCTTAATCTCCGACTCGATAGTTTCGCGCTAATTAATTTTCCAGTCTTAATAGAGAGGTTCAATTAAAAAAGCCGTTCTCTTATTAATGTGGGGCAATTTTTGACACAGCTGTGAGCGTGAGGACAAAACAATTACTCATCGCTGTGCGCTGTATACGGTAATGTTACGTAAACACAGCAATTGACCTGGGCCCCCATAACCCCTACATTAATACGAGTCAAACACTAATCAAGCCAAGAAATTTAAAATGCTACAATATACAATTAAAACTAGCGCTGACATTTGACACCATAAATATGATCGTGAAAGTCCCGGCGCGCGCGGGAACGCTTCAAACTATTCCAGTTAACTTTTAGATTGAATCGATGGGGCACCAGTTGATGGGGCCCAACATATCTCCAGGTCGCCAGGGCAACACGCTTGATTAATATTGATAAAAATTATTGTGGCTTGTACGCGCGAAGGTTCGTTAATAACTTACAGGGTGGGCCAATTCCGACGCTGTTGAGGTAATGACGCAAAAAAGTACATATGTCAAGATGGCATTGGTTCAAATTTCGAAAAAGTAGAATGGCAAAAAAACCTCGATATTTTCAATCGTTTAAAAGATACAGGTGTTTCAATTCTACGAAATTTTGTTCATATAGGAACGAAGAATTACAGAAAAATTTTGCAAAAATTAAATATTTTCAAACAAGAACGTTATATTGAAAAACACCCAGCGACTCTTCAATTTTTCAGAAAAATCGGGCCTAAAAATCGATGTCGAAACTATATTTATATTTTCTTCTAAATTTTTGGGAAATGGGAAGCCCCTCAAATATCGTAAAAATAGAACAAAGTATACAGACATTAAAATAAAAATAATTAAATGTATTTGCAAAATCAATGAACATGTCAAATTGAAACAAAGTAGATGTATATTTTCAGAGCCCCAAAATAGCCAGGTTTTAAATTAGACTAGGCGGTATCTGTTTTGGATTGTGTGAATCGTATATCCACGGAAATTGTTGGCTTTTTGGCTGTCAAATATCACTAGAAATGAAATTTTCTGTATGCGCATAAAAAAACGTGGGTTTAACTTTTGGCAGCACAATATGTTAAAAAAAATCAAATATGTCATATTTTTCTTCCTATTTAATTATGTGTCTTTTCAAAAGTTGATTTTAGACGAAAATGGAAGAGGAAAAAAATGTTTGTACTTAATTAAATTTTACAAAATATGACTACTTACAAATCGAATGAATCATGATTATTACTGTAAAAATCGAAAAAATCGCAAAAAAATGGGGTTAAAAAACATCACTTTTTAGGGAATTTTTTTGGGATCTTTAAGTTGAGTATAGGACCTTCATACTTGGCTCAAGAAAAGTTATGTTATGTAGAATCATCACACCAAATTTTATCAAAATCAGTTCTATAGATTTTGCATAATAATTTTGCAATTCAGATTTTGAAAAAATATTTGCAAATTTTCAAAATTTTGCACAGCAAAAACCAAGGCAAGGCCCTTAGATACTTGAAAATTTAAACACATACAGGGTGATTCATTAACAATGGGAAAATCGAAAGCTGAAGATACTACACGTAAAATGGTGACCATTGGCGCAAATATGCCTTATCCGAAAGTTGATAGTTTCGGAAATACAGAGTGTTGAAAGTAAAAATTTTAAATCGTTTTTTTGCGATTATTCTGAAACTATGTAGGTTAGGAACTTGAAAATTTGTGAAACTATATTTTTTTTAAGCGACGAATAAGATGCGTGTTGCAATTTCAGCGTTGATCATAGAGGGGGCCACTTACGACCAATTTTACCGAAACTTTAGTTAATAATTTTTTACCCTGTATGCCTAATATGAAACTTGATTCAAAACCTGAAAGAGCAATAATTTTTCCATTAATTATGTACTCTTGTTTCATTTCGGTATCTCGATCCGTTTTCGAGAAAAATCGATTTAACGAACACTATGTTTTATGTTTTGATGATACGAGAAATTAAAAGCGAAACAAACTAAGTGTTTCTTCATGTTATTACAACAATTAATGATAAAACAAATGAAATACGTAATAATGATTTAAAGTTATAATTGTTCGAAGAATCCACTGTTGACATTGATACACTTTACACAACGTTTTCTGAGATATCTCCAGGTTTGAAACAACATATTGGGATAGCGTCTAACTTCGCTGGTAGCGATTCGTATTCTTTGGCACAACTCTTCACACGAACAATAGATTCTTTGTAAACTATATCTTTCATTCAAGACCAAAAAGAAAAATCAAGAGGATTGAAGTCCGGACTTCTGGGTGGACAAGCAAAAATGCTTACATGGCCAATCCAACGATTTGGAAAAACTACATTTAAATATGCACGCACTGGCCGAGAAAAATACGGTGGAGTTCCGTCGTGCATGAACCACATGTCTCTTCTTAAATAAAGTAGAACTTCTTCAAGCCGTGGAAGCATTTTTGCTTGGCCACCCAGA